ATCCGAGTATAGTATTTCTGGACGTAGGTTAGTGTCTGTCTGTACAGTTATACCGTTATAGACTGAACAATAGAATGTTTTTTTGGTTCAAGCTTGATATAGTTAGAAACTAGTGCGGAGTACTACACATGTCTACCTCATTCCATAAAACTTGACATTCTAAGATTTTTTCCAGACAGATTAATATAGAATTGAAATGACATCGGTAACCCTATTTATTAGGCCAGTCTCAATAAGGGTTTCATCAGAGTTTCATAAACATTAAATATGCTGATGTGGCACCGTATTGACGAAGAGAGCTGATAAAAGTTCCATGGGAGTAGAGAGAGTTTTATGAGGATACAACTCTTCTACACTGTTTCTAAAATATTAATGTATTGTAAACCGGGCCATGAAATCCCCACCGAAACTGGCCTTAAAGATTTTTAACCTAAAACGGAGCTAGTATTGATTAATCTAGCTTGCCGCTGCAGCTTCTGCTGTGACTGCAGCTCCATAACTATGAACTACTGTAGCACGAACTAGAGAAGCTGCAGCCGCATCCGAAAGAAGCTGCAGCGAGCATATGTATGCGCTCACCTCAATTAGGCATGCAGATTAGCTGCCATCTCTAGGCCTAATTAGTGTTTGTTAAAGTAACTGTGGATGGCACATTGAATGTCAAGTGGGTAAGTACAATAACAAGTTTTTTAGGCAAAATTTAAATACTAGCAGCCTGTTCGGGAGGCCGTATCGTATCGTGGATTATTTACTGCTGGCTGGTTTGGTGTGAGAGAAAAACACTATTCCCGGCTGAAAATTTACGATCATTTACGAGCAAGCGAACAGGCTGCAGGATGTCATGTGTTTATCTACGGGTGGATAGAGTGAGAAATACGCTAAAACGTGTGTTACCTAATACCAGTAAAAATTTACAAGGTGGAAGATGCTATCAATGATAAGAATTACTAGCATGCTAAAATTAGCTGATTCAAATAATGCCTCAGTTTTTTTTTTCTTTTCGAAACAATTGAGAATGTCTACTTGGCAAGGTAGCGGTGAAACAGGGAACGGAACAGTAGACAGTAGACACTGACCTGTCCGAAGACGGCCTGTGGCACGCGGGCGCGGAGCGCGTCGACGAGCTCCTTGCCAAGCGGCGCGGCGCCGGAGAGCACGATCCGGATGGAGCTGAGGTCGTACTTCTCCAGCGCGGGGTTCTTTGCCAGGGCGAGCACCAGCGGCGGCACGACGGCGGCCACCGTGACGCGCCACCGCTGGATGCCCTCCAGCATCGCGCCCATCTCGAACTTGGGCATCAGCATCACCGCCGCGCCGGCGCGCAGCGCGCACAGCAGCACCGAGTTGAGCGAGAAGATGTGGAACAGCGGCAGCACGCAGAGCGCGACGTCGCCCTCCCGCATGTACAGGTTGGGGTTGGCGCCGTCCACCTGCTGCGCCACGTTGGACACCTGCCCGCCGTGGGTGAGCACCACGCCCTTGGGCAGCCCCGTGGTGCCCGACGAGAACGGCAGCGCCACGGGGTCGTCGGGGGAGATGGACACCTCCGGGAGCGCGGCGTCGTCGGCGGGCGTGACCAGCTCCCAGAACGCCAGGCAGCCTTCCGGGGTGTCGGCCGCGTCGTCGATGGTGAGGACGGTGAGGGCATTGTCGTCCTCGCCGCCGACATCGCTCGCCGTGCCGATCCTCGGGAACGCCTCGTGCCGGAGCTTGTCGACGTAGGCGGACTGGGTGACGATGAGCTTCGCGCCGGAGGCCCTGAACTGCTTGTGGATCTCCAGCGGCGTGCAGAACGGGTTGGCGGCCGTGGTGACGGCGCCGAGGAACGACGCGCCGAAGAAGGTGAGCACGAACTCGACGGAGTTCTGCAGCAGGATCATGACGCGGTCGCCCTGGCCGACGCCGAGCCCGTGCAGCGACGCCGCGGCCTTGCGGCACAGGAGGCGCGTCTCGGCGTACGTGTATGTCCTCCCCGTGGCCGCCGCGATGAGGCACGGCGCGTCCGCGACCTCTGCCGCCCTCGCGAAGCAGTACTCGTGCAAAGGCAGGTGGCTGGGTATGTCGATGTCCGGCAGCTTCGACCGGAACATGGTCTCCTCCGGCGCCGCGGGGGCCACGGCCGCCGCCACCTGCGGCTGCGCCTCCGGTGCTGCCACCGTGATCATTTCCTTTTCCTCTGCCAAATTCGTACCAGTGGACGGGCTTAGCTACACGGCAGTGGTGCTGTTGAGACTGAGAAGAGACGGAGGCGGAAATAAATACAGCAACAGGCAGCAGGGGACCGGAGGTAGGCGAGAGCTCGCGCGCGCGCGCGATGGAGGGGTTAGGTATGGTTAGAGGTGATGAGGGAGATGCACGTGGAAGCGGTGCGTACACGCCCGACAGCCACCCCTGCAGCACATTTTCCAGCCCAAAATGGGATGTTTTTTTCTTCAAATTTTGTGCAATCCTTGGTCATCTTAAGTCTCAACAACGTACTAGTTCTTTTCTCGCAGGGTTCGGCGCCTGTGTGTCCACGTATGACTTGCCATCGTCTCGCTAACGGGCAGCGCAGCGCCCAGAACGAGTGGAGCGCCCCGTCTTGGCTGCGGTTCGCTCGTACCTAACCCTTGCATTTCCCTCTGCCAATTTTGGACGTAGCAAAAAATTATCTTGTATTAGCTGCAGGGCAAGCTCACAGCTCAGCGTGCTCGTCACATAAGGCCTACGAACTGTTTCAGCTACAGGGCGATCTCGTGCTCGATCTCTGAGACTGAGATCAATCATGGACTAGCACTGGCAGGTGGCACTGCGTGCACACATGAGTATATGACCAGCAAAGAGTCGAAAAGAGATGCCATGCCCGGGGCCCGGCCCGTGCCCAAGTTGAGCAGCATACTGTTCAAACGTTCAAAAAAGAAGAAGATGAACGCCATACTGCAATGCGAATTGGGAACGGGCGCGATCGCCGGGCAATCGACTCGTGGCGTCCGTCGGCGCCAGGTAGCAGCAGGGCAGAGGAGTTGGAGAGAAGAGAAACGAGTGGCCACGGCACGATCGATGCGGCGGCTGCTGTTGCCAGCCGCCATGCGGATCATGTCAGTTGCAGCACTGGAATTCAGGCCTGGTTTAGTTGGCGAAATTTTTTGGAAAATAGTACTGTAGCATTTTTCGTTGTTATTTGGTAATTAGTGTTCAATTATAATCTAATTAGGTTTAAAAGATTCGTCTCGTGAATTTCGTCTAAACTGTATAATTAGTTTTATTTTTTATTTATATTTAATGCTTCATGCATGCGTCCAAAGATTCGATGTGACGAAAAATTTTGAAAAAATTTACAAAATTTTGGGAACTAAACATGCACTCAGCCTCCTGCACATTCCTGGAGTTTATGATCGTATCGTATCAAGCGGGATGTTGATGCATGATGCGCATTCATACGAGGCATTGTCCATTCCAACCAGACGTATTGCTGCGAGCTTCGATCTCGATCTGATCGGCAACATCTGCAGCTGTCACCTCAGCTTTGTATGTGCAGTTGCTTTGCTAGTCCTGAAGGCTGAAGCTGTTTTGCTAGCCATTTCTAGGCCTCGTTCGTTGGTCTAAAACTTAGCTAAAACTGGTTAATTTTGTAAGAAAAAAACACTGTTTAGCTGATTTTTATAAACAGTAAAATGAGTGGCAACCAACCGGCTGGTCTGATTATATCAGACCAGCGAACACGTCGCTAGTACACAAGGGCTGAAGCTGTTTCAGCTCACCTGTCAACATTTCCCGGCATGATTTAAAAATAAAAATAAAAATAAAAATGTTTCCGGCTGGATTACTGAAGTTGCTGAGTCAGGCTGTTTCCCGTTTAGGTTTAGCTCAATATCGAAATTAGCACAAGGACTGTGGAACCACGTCTACTGGATGGAAAAAAAAATTGATAAGTTTTTTTTCCCTCTCTGGTGGTAATAGTGTCCTAAACAAAAAGAAGACACGCCTAATTATAGACATACATACACACGCGCCAACTAAGCTTCTTGGATACCGATGATATACAGTAATAAAATCAGCACCGTCAAATATTCATTATTCACAGATTCTTGGATACATGATTACATGAAGGAATAAAATCAGCACCGTCAAATATTCATTATTCACAGCTTCTTGGATACATGATTACATGAAGGACCTACATGATTGTTATTTCTGGTTTTGCGGTTTTTTCTATTTATTAATCTATGCGTATGTAAATCTATTCTTCTTAATTGAAAGACAGAGCTCGTGATATTACAATTAAAAAATATATTGTCATTTTCAGGCACTAAATACCGCTTAAAAGTGCAAGGCAAAGTTGGGCAGTTTGGAACTAGTATCGTCGTAGGCAAACGTAATGGACCTGTTTTTTTTTCTTATATAATGCAATGCAGCTATTTGAGGTGTCCTCTTCGCCAACAAAGCCTTGAAAATGATGGACCTTAGCAAAAGGGTTTTGTGGTTCTGGTTTTCGGTTGGCCAACAGAAATTCGCAGTTTGAAATGAGTTGAATCATCAGCAGAGAAACTAGCTATATCCATCAGCATTTTACCTTCTGGGCGGCTGGGCCTCATGTCGCTGCTAATTGCTAGCTATCCCTCTTCACTTTTCCTATATTTACCTGATTTTTTATTATTGTTTAGACAATATATAATGTATTTATCATTGTTTATCTATAGGAAAAATTTTAAATTGTCTTTTGTGGGTTGTCATTTCAGTTGTACTAGTTGGTTATCTAACTAAAATCGTCACCTGAAAATTCAGGCACCTGAAATGTACTCCTAGCAACTTTCATATCTCTACTAACCCAAATGGCATCAAACATAGCAACCTCAGCCTTTGAAGTGACAGCAAATGTTCAAACATTTTTGTCGAAGACGTGCACCATGTATTCCATTCACAGCAAAAGGAAACATACAAGAATCGCAAGAACAAAGACAGAAATTGCTGTTGATATTTACACCATCGATCACAGTTCACACTTCACACCAACGGAACCGTTACCAGTAGTCACTGCATGTGCAGGCCCCGCGCCTGAACCGGTGGAGCCGGTTCCGGTCCCTGATGACGATCTCCCGCCTGAAGATCTCCGAGATCAGCGCGCTGTACGCGTGGCATTCCTTGCTCATCCGGAGGTTGGTCACGACCCTCACCGGCGGCCCCTCCGGCGTGCTGAGCAGGCCGAACGCCATGGCCAGCTTCTGGCTGTGCGCGGCGACCACGCGCCGCTTCTCCTCTTCGCCCACGTCCAGCGCCACCTCCGACGTGTCAGGTTTGTAGCCATCGAACCGCAGCTGCCACTCCATCTGGTGGAGCATCTCGTAGATGTCGCGCGTCCGCGGGTGCGACATGTCCTGCGACACGAACCGGTGCAGCTCGCCGCGTACCTCCACGGCGCTGAACCCGGGGGACTGCGCGAGGCCCCAGTCCACCGCCTCTGTCCGGAACGCGGCGGCAGCGGGCCAGTTCTTGGTCCTGGTGTGCATGTCCGCGACGATGACGTAGTCGCCGGCGTTGGTGGCGCCCAGGCGCCTCAGCTCCTCAAGGGCGCGCTCGGCGAGATCCAGGTCGCCGTGGATCCGGCACGCGTTCAGCAGGCTTCGCCAGGCCGTGTCCGTCGGCCCCGTGGGCATGCTCCCGATGAGCGCGCGCGCGTCGTCCAGCCTTCCGGCGCGGGCCATCAGGTCCACCATGCAGCCGTAGTGCTGCGCGTTGGGCGCGACCTTGTGCTCCAGCCGCATGCGGTCGAAGCACCGCAGCCCGTCCTCGAGCAGCCCGGCGCGGCTGCAGGCGTTCAGCACGCCGACGTACGCCGCCGCGTCGGGCGCGTGGCCCTCCCGGACCATCGCGTAGAACACCTGCAGCGCCTTCCGCCCGTCCCCGTGCAGCGCCAAGCCGGATAGCATGGCGCTGTACGTCCACGCGTTCTTGTCCTCCATCGCGTCGAACACCGCCGCGGCCTTCTCGATGCTGCCGCACTTGGCGTACATGTCCACCAGGGACGTCTGCATGATGGCGTTCAGCCTCGCGGTGTTCCTCAGCAGCGCGCAGTGGATGCTCCTCCCGACGTCGAAGGCACCCAGGTGCGCACACGACGAGAGCACGCTGACCATGGAGCTCTCGTCGGGCCTCCACCCATCGAGTACCATCGCGCCGAACGACTCGAGGCATTCGCCCCACAGCTCGGCCTTCGTGTACGCCGCGAGGAGTGCGCTCCAGGAAGCCGTCGTCCGCTCCTCGGCCTCCACCCGGTCAAACGCCAGACGAGCCATCGCCGGCTCCCCGCACTTGCCGTAGAAGCTGATCAGGCTGTTCTGCACGTGCTCGTCGTGCTGGAACCCGAGCTTCACGATGTGCGCCTGCAACTGCTAATGGAAACAAAGAAATGTCACATCCCAGTCAGCGATTGCAGAAGAGCACACTGCTTGGTTGAGTTTGAGCCGAAGCTGTCACCTGCCTCCCTTCTTGCAAGGCCGCGAGCTGCGCGCACGCCTTGAGTACGAACGGGAACGTGTAGCTGTCAGGCCCGACGCCCGCCTCCAGCATGTCAACGTAAAGGCGCAGCGCGGCCGCCGGTTCACGGTCGCCGCGGCCGCCACCGACGTGGCCGCGCATCAGGGTGTTGTAATCGAAGGCCTCCGGCTCGACGAGCGACTCGAAGATGGACGCCGCGAGCTCCATGCCGCCCGACCAGCCCCAGAGGGCGCACGCCGCGAGCAGCGGCCGCGCGTGCCGCAGGCAGCGGTCGAGGCCCAGCTTGATATGCCGCGCGTGCGCCTTCCTGACCCCGTCCAAGCTCCGCAACGGGACGGCCGCCGCCGCCGTGCCACATGGCTGCACCTGGTCCCTCGGCCTCTTCTCCAACGCCTGCGCCGGCGCCGGTGCGGCGGTTCTTGGCGTGGCGACCTGGTGCGTCTGCGCCTGGGACAGAACTAGATCTCCCACCATGCTAGCACCATCGGCGTGCGGTGGAGCAGAGGCAGTGTGACGAAACTACCATTGCCGAACCGTGGCCGGTGACCACATGGAGCTCTTGTGTTCACAAGATTCGGTTACCGCGACGAGTAAAAATCGCGCGTCTCTCTCGCCACCGTGGTCACCATGCTCGACCTCACTGTGTGCAGAGGTTGCAGTTGCAGATATGGACACCGCGCTATTGGGCCCCACGTGCAAGCGATTTGTGGCTGGGGAGCAGCGCTAGGATTTTCTCGAGCTGTTGGATGTCATCCAGGAGTTGGAGCGGGCAAATGGCAGCTGGGCGGAGGCGATGCCGTGACAAACCAATTAGGCTCAGGATAAGGTCCAAGTCCAACGGGGCAGCCACCAAACAGTCCAATTCCAGACTGGATATTGACAACATAGGCCCACCTACCAGTCTCTAAACATGTTAACAGTTGCGCCCATGTAAAAGCTTCTTGTTTGGTTTTTCGCTGACTTTTGCCCAGCTTCTATGGAAATGTTTGGTTCGAGGAATGAGATAATCCATCTTCTTTTCGCTCCTCATTTTTTTATTTGGTTCGTGAAATGGAATAAGTTGATCCATAACCATCTTACTCGTTACGAGCTAATAATATATGAATGAGGAATGTGTTGATTCCACCAAAACTCACGAGATAAACTCATGATGCATCACCTCATGAAACATGTGGTGACTCCACAAACCAAACACGTTGGATGATATATTCTGAGATACATTGCTTTCCTAGAATATCATACTAGTCATCTCAGATTTGACATGGAGAAAATAAGAAGCCATCATTTAAAAAAATAAGCATATGCTCCTCTACTAAGCATCAGATTGATCATTTGGACCACATATATAGTTAATCCCTCAACGTGTAAGAAATTGTATCCTGGTTAGCACTTCCACGCAGGCTAAACTCATCGATCGGGTTGCGCTTGCCGGAGGTTCGCAATGAGTTATGTGGCCCGGGTAGAGGAATTCTCTATCAAGGATTAGGTTCTCATTTCCATCTCCATGCACATCATTAGAGATTATTTTCCCGTCCCTGTCCTCGCTGGGGAATTAAAACCCGTGAAGATTCCTCGCCCATACGTAAAATTCTTACAAAAATCAACAATAGACCAATAACTAGCAGATCAACAAGGCCATCAACTCATCATCAAAACACTGCAAACTATCAATAGATCTTCACATGTCTAGTACACTACATATATATGCAAATAGTAGATTGGACAAAGATGTCATTCATAAAATAATATATCAATACCACTATATTGCGTAGCCACAAGAGTGAGAGAGTTTCACGAGGAATGGTCCAATGGAGACTACCTTCTCCACATTTATCCACATGGAGACTAAATCGGACATAGCCCCTGCAGGGAATCGGGCATCGGGGGCCATTACCATCTCTAGACTCGGGTAAGCTACACTCGCCTATATCATGTGACCGATGTTGCTTTTGATGATCGACAGTTGACTGTTGTGCTGGTGGCCTTATACTGGTCACAATATGCCAATGCTCTAAAATATCATGTCATAACCGATGCTTCACTTTCATTTAGGCCACAGTATGCCGATACCCCGAAATAGCTAGACAAACATCACTTAATTCTCTCCCCCGTCATAACTCTTGTCAGATCTTCATGTCACTTACAGGTGGGACCACATATCCCCTTTCAAAGCAAGCATCGACGTATCTACTTTTCTCGATGCCAAAGTTTGCGATGCCAGATTTTTTTTTTTGCTGCTGTGGGCAAGCATCAAGGCTTAGATGAAAAAAACGAGTTTTAGGCATCGGTATTTCACCACGCCGTGGGTAGTTGAATAGGCGTTTCTAAAATTTAACAATAAAACCTAACAACAGATGAGTTAGGTGCTAAACTTCCGCAAACTAAACTTAGAGATATTGATTTAGAGATGTGCATTAGAAAGTTCATAAAACACCTGCACTCATAAACACACATAACCAAGTAGATCTAAAAGAAGCACAAATCAAAGCAAGAACTCAAAAGTAAACAAATCCAAGTGAATAAATGAGGATTTGCTTTTCGAAATTCAGCTCCTTTGAAGAAAGGACTTATATCTTTGTTGATCAAGGAGATCGTAAGTGACCACCAAAGATCAAGCTTTAGCCATGTCTATTTCAGCTTCTTTGCTCGCTTTATTATTGGACTTCTTCCCATGTAAGGGCGAAGTCAAAGTCTTCACAAAACGTCCTACGGATCACCTCAAGCACATAAGGGCACTCATAATGTAGAAAACTATCATAGTTTCTATGTGCATTAATTATTCTGCCACCTAAGTATTTTGCTGATGTGGCAAGCGATTTATTGATGAGAGATGAGGAAATGATTTCTTAATGAGAAACCATGTCTACACGAGAACCAAGACATGAAGAGATATGATAGGTAGATAAGAGAGAGAGAGAAAATGCTAGCTATCCCTCTTCACTTTTCCTATATTTACCTGATTTTTTATTATTGTTTAGACAATATATAATGTATTTATCATTGTTTATCTATAGGAAAAATTTTAAATTGTCTTTTGTGGGTTGTCATTTCAGTTGTACTAGTTGGTTATCTAACTAAAATCGTCACCTGAAAATTCAGGCACCTGAAATGTACTCCTAGCAACTTTCATATCTCTACTAACCCAAATGGCATCAAACATAGCAACCTCAGCCTTTGAAGTGACAGCAAATGTTCAAACATTTTTGTCGAAGACGTGCACCATGTATTCCATTCACAGCAAAAGGAAACATACAAGAATCGCAAGAACAAAGACAGAAATTGCTGTTGATATTTACACCATCGATCACAGTTCACACTTCACACCAACGGAACCGTTACCAGTAGTCACTGCATGTGCAGGCCCCGCGCCTGAACCGGTGGAGCCGGTTCCGGTCCCTGATGACGATCTCCCGCCTGAAGATCTCCGAGATCAGCGCGCTGTACGCGTGGCATTCCTTGCTCATCCGGAGGTTGGTCACGACCCTCACCGGCGGCCCCTCCGGCGTGCTGAGCAGGCCGAACGCCATGGCCAGCTTCTGGCTGTGCGCGGCGACCACGCGCCGCTTCTCCTCTTCGCCCACGTCCAGCGCCACCTCCGACGTGTCAGGTTTGTAGCCATCGAACCGCAGCTGCCACTCCATCTGGTGGAGCATCTCGTAGATGTCGCGCGTCCGCGGGTGCGACATGTCCTGCGACACGAACCGGTGCAGCTCGCCGCGTACCTCCACGGCGCTGAACCCGGGGGACTGCGCGAGGCCCCAGTCCACCGCCTCTGTCCGGAACGCGGCGGCAGCGGGCCAGTTCTTGGTCCTGGTGTGCATGTCCGCGACGATGACGTAGTCGCCGGCGTTGGTGGCGCCCAGGCGCCTCAGCTCCTCAAGGGCGCGCTCGGCGAGATCCAGGTCGCCGTGGATCCGGCACGCGTTCAGCAGGCTTCGCCAGGCCGTGTCCGTCGGCCCCGTGGGCATGCTCCCGATGAGCGCGCGCGCGTCGTCCAGCCTTCCGGCGCGGGCCATCAGGTCCACCATGCAGCCGTAGTGCTGCGCGTTGGGCGCGACCTTGTGCTCCAGCCGCATGCGGTCGAAGCACCGCAGCCCGTCCTCGAGCAGCCCGGCGCGGCTGCAGGCGTTCAGCACGCCGACGTACGCCGCCGCGTCGGGCGCGTGGCCCTCCCGGACCATCGCGTAGAACACCTGCAGCGCCTTCCGCCCGTCCCCGTGCAGCGCCAAGCCGGATAGCATGGCGCTGTACGTCCACGCGTTCTTGTCCTCCATCGCGTCGAACACCGCCGCGGCCTTCTCGATGCTGCCGCACTTGGCGTACATGTCCACCAGGGACGTCTGCATGATGGCGTTCAGCCTCGCGGTGTTCCTCAGCAGCGCGCAGTGGATGCTCCTCCCGACGTCGAAGGCACCCAGGTGCGCACACGACGAGAGCACGCTGACCATGGAGCTCTCGTCGGGCCTCCACCCATCGAGTACCATCGCGCCGAACGACTCGAGGCATTCGCCCCACAGCTCGGCCTTCGTGTACGCCGCGAGGAGTGCGCTCCAGGAAGCCGTCGTCCGCTCCTCGGCCTCCACCCGGTCAAACGCCAGACGAGCCATCGCCGGCTCCCCGCACTTGCCGTAGAAGCTGATCAGGCTGTTCTGCACGTGCTCGTCGTGCTGGAACCCGAGCTTCACGATGTGCGCCTGCAACTGCTAATGGAAACAAAGAAATGTCACATCCCAGTCAGCGATTGCAGAAGAGCACACTGCTTGGTTGAGTTTGAGCCGAAGCTGTCACCTGCCTCCCTTCTTGCAAGGCCGCGAGCTGCGCGCACGCCTTGAGTACGAACGGGAACGTGTAGCTGTCAGGCCCGACGCCCGCCTCCAGCATGTCAACGTAAAGGCGCAGCGCGGCCGCCGGTTCACGGTCGCCGCGGCCGCCACCGACGTGGCCGCGCATCAGGGTGTTGTAATCGAAGGCCTCCGGCTCGACGAGCGACTCGAAGATGGACGCCGCGAGCTCCATGCCGCCCGACCAGCCCCAGAGGGCGCACGCCGCGAGCAGCGGCCGCGCGTGCCGCAGGCAGCGGTCGAGGCCCAGCTTGATATGCCGCGCGTGCGCCTTCCTGACCCCGTCCAAGCTCCGCAACGGGACGGCCGCCGCCGCCGTGCCACATGGCTGCACCTGGTCCTCGGCCTCTTCTCCAACGCCTGCGCCGGCGCCGGTGCGGCGGTTCTTGGCGTGGCGACCTGGTGCGTCTGCGCCTGGGACAGAACTAGATCTCCCACCATGCTAGCACCATCGGCGTGCGGTGGAGCAGAGGCAGTGTGACGAAACTACCATTGCCGAACCGTGGCCGGTGACCACATGGAGCTCTTGTGTTCACAAGATTCGGTTACCGCGACGAGTAAAAATCGCGCGTCTCTCTCGCCACCGTGGTCACCATGCTCGACCTCACTGTGTGCAGAGGTTGCAGTTGCAGATATGGACACCGCGCTATTGGGCCCCACGTGCAAGCGATTTGTGGCTGGGGAGCAGCGCTAGGATTTTCTCGAGCTGTTGGATGTCATCCAGGAGTTGGAGCGGGCAAATGGCAGCTGGGCGGAGGCGATGCCGTGACAAACCAATTAGGCTCAGGATAAGGTCCAAGTCCAACGGGGCAGCCACCAAACAGTCCAATTCCAGACTGGATATTGACAACATAGGCCCACCTACCAGTCTCTAAACATGTTAACAGTTGCGCCCATGTAAAAGCTTCTTGTTTGGTTTTTCGCTGACTTTTGCCCAGCTTCTATGGAAATGTTTGGTTCGAGGAATGAGATAATCCATCTTCTTTTCGCTCCTCATTTTTTTATTTGGTTCGTGAAATGGAATAAGTTGATCCATAACCATCTTACTCGTTACATGAGCTAATAATATATGAATGAGGAATGTGTTGATTCCACCAAAACTCACGAGATAAACTCATGATGCATCACCTCATGAAACATGTGGTGACTCCACAAACCAAACACGTTGGATGATATATTCTGAGATACATTGCTTTCCTAGAATATCATACTAGTCATCTCAGATTTGACATGGAGAAAATAAGAAGCCATCATTTAAAAAAATAAGCATATGCTCCTCTACTAAGCATCAGATTGATCATTTGGACCACATATATAGTTAATCCCTCAACGTGTAAGAAATTGTATCCTGGTTAGCACTTCCACGCAGGCTAAACTCATCGATCGGGTTGCGCTTGCCGGAGGTTCGCAATGAGTTATGTGGCCCGGGTAGAGGAATTCTCTATCAAGGATTAGGTTCTCATTTCCATCTCCATGCACATCATTAGAGATTATTTTCCCGTCCCTGTCCTCGCTGGGGAATTAAAACCCGTGAAGATTCCTCGCCCATACGTAAAATTCTTACAAAAATCAACAATAGACCAATAACTAGCAGATCAACAAGGCCATCAACTCATCATCAAAACACTGCAAACTATCAATAGATCTTCACATGTCTAGTACACTACATATATATGCAAATAGTAGATTGGACAAAGATGTCATTCATAAAATAATATATCAATACCACTATATTGCGTAGCCACAAGAGTGAGAGAGTTTCACGAGGAATGGTCCAATGGAGACTACCTTCTCCACATTTATCCACATGGAGACTAAATCGGACATAGCCCCTGCAGGGAATCGGGCATCGGGGGCCATTACCATCTCTAGACTCGGGTAAGCTACACTCGCCTATATCATGTGACCGATGTTGCTTTTGATGATCGACAGTTGATCACAGTCTTGGTGGCCTTATACTGGTCACAATATGCCAATGCTCTAAAATATCATGTCATAACCGATGCTTCACTTTCATTTAGGCCACAGTATGCCGATACCCCGAAATAGCTAGACAAACATCACTTAATTCTCTCCCCCGTCATAACTCTTGTCAGATCTTCATGTCACTTACAGGTGGGACCACATATCCCCTTTCAAAGCAAGCATCGACGTATCTACTTTTCTCGATGCCAAAGTTTGCGATGCCAGATTTTTTTTTTTGCTGCTGTGGGCAAGCATCAAGGCTTAGATGAAAAAAACGAGTTTTAGGCATCGGTATTTCACCACGCCGTGGGTAGTTGAATAGGCGTTTCTAAAATTTAACAATAAAACCTAACAACAGATGAGTTAGGTGCTAAACTTCCACAAACTAAACTTAGAGATATTGATTTAGAGATGTGCATTAGAAAGTTCATAAAACACCTGCACTCATAAACACACATAACCAAGTAGATCTAAAAGAAGCACAAATCAAAGCAAGAACTCAAAAGTAAACAAATCCAAGTGAATAAATGAGGATTTGCTTTTCGAAATTCAGCTCCTTTGAAGAAAGGACTTATATCTTTGTTGATCAAGGAGATCGTAAGTGACCACCAAAGATCAAGCTTTAGCCATGTCTATTTCAGCTTCTTTGCTCGCTTTATTATTGGACTTCTTCCCATGTAAGGGCGAAGTCAAAGTCTTCACAAAACGTCCTACGGATCACCTCAAGCACATAAGGGCACTCATAATGTAGAAAACTATCATAGTTTCTATGTGCATTAATTATTCTGCCACCTAAGTATTTTGCTGATGTGGCAAGCGATTTATTGATGAGAGATGAGGAAATGATTTCTTAATGAGAAACCATGTCTACACGAGAACCAAGACATGAAGAGATATGATAGGTAGATAAGAGAGAGAGAGAAAATGTACGATTAGACAAAAGATTATTCTACAGAAACCATTCATTGGAAACGTAGTTTTTATATGTAGTATCTACATGTATAGAAACTATACATGATTTCTAGCATTAGGAGTGCCCTGAGCTCACGGGGCAACACCTACCCATCAAGGAGGCTTGACCTAGAGAGTAATAAATGCTTCACGAATTGTTTGACAAAGCACACAAGTGCTTAATGATTTAGTTGCTCACTCTTGCTCTCAACCATCAAACCTCTCAACCTAACTCTCTAGATTTCTCACAAATCATGCAACCCCCTCATAAAAGAGGGTTAAGGAGAACGAGAAAGTAGAAACACCTCCAAATGAATGGAAGCTTAGAATTGTATATGGAACGCCCAGGTGGCACAGAATTTTCACAGAAAAAAAAAGACATTATCATGAGAAAGGCCCTAGGTAGTGAGGAGCTCATCGGCCTGTACAAGTCTCCCCATCATCTGTGACCCTATTTTTAAGGTGGAATTATATGAATTGCCTGACATCCTCAAATGCTTCTTCATCATCGTCACCAAACATGGCTACCATTTTCATGGCTAACTTCGAAGCCATCTCCCTCCTCTGGCAACCAGGCACGAGCAGGTTGGAACGCATGTTGCCAGTCTCCGACATCAGCTTTGCCATGTTATCTAGACCATAATGCTTGTCCTCAAAAATGTTGTTTTCTTTAGCAGTTTCCGTCGGTATCACTCAGAAGAGGGTTGCATGCTGGCCTTCCCAACTTGATGTGTGCGATCCTACATACCATCAGCCTCATCCGATCTTTCAAAGCTTCTGATCTACATGTCTCAATAATGAATCCCCACTGGCCATAAGATCCATGGGACAGGATCTCTTACTAAAAACTCATAGTTGGATTCATCATTTGTAGATTCTGTCAGAATGAAAATGAATAATAAGGGGCAGATAATGCATGATTTTAAATTGAATAATGTATAGTAGCATACTTGTGCAGAGATTGCACGACATGTTTTCTCTAAAAAGGAGGGTCAGCAAATTATAATAGCTGAAGTTACTTTGATAGGGACCTTAGCATGCCATGCTAGCACAGAACAAGCAAGGCTATCAACACTCCAGTGCCAATTTAGTTCTTTATGACATTGAACTTACCATCCTTTTCAACCAAGGATGGAGCAGTAATTCTGCTTCCAGAATTCAAAATCATCCCAAGCCACATATGTGCAGAAAGAGCACCAAAGTGCCGCTCTATGTCTTGGCTATCACCATCAACAGATAAAAACATCCACGACTCCTATAGGATATAGGCCTTTTTCATTGGAGTCCATAAACATATAAGATTTCATTGCTACAAATAATTAATCCATACTTAGTTTAGAGCCCATGATAATGGATTGATCACTGGAAACAAGAAATGCTTGATGGCAAAGATGTAATAGAAATTTGAGGAAGAAAAAAAATTAACATTTGAAGGTTTACAACCAAAGAGACAGCTTACACTTTCAAAGTTAGCAATGGAAGCACACGCCTCACTGCCTCAGTATCTTCTATGTTCTGCTCAATGCACCACTGTGAGGTAGAGTTTCTGATCTCTATGCATAGCTTTTCCTCAGATAACAAGCCACGGCCCTCAGCCCCTCACTTTCATTTATCCCAAAATTCAAATATTCAGGGCGTGGATCAGAATTTTTCTCCCAAGCCTTTTCATATGCCTCCTATATTCTACATTCACACCATGGCCAGGTCTGTTTTCTCTGCAGACCAACATTGGCAGCCCAACTCTGGACAGTAAGCAAGGAGGATTCCTGCATAATTATTTGATACAATTATCCTGCTTTAGTATTGAGGATTTAAAATTTAGACCCAGAAAATGAAACGTTCGCAATCTTTAAACTTAGATGGAAAATGCAATTAAGGTTGCATGAGAACACAGATTCAGTTTGAATGTCACTCTTATTGAAGACCATAATGAGGCAGCCAGCCGGTCTAGATGAAAGAGGGAACCAACTAACCAAGAGAAACTCTTCACCAAGATTTGTTGTCTAGATGGAAAAATTAGCTGTGTTTCAATTGTCCACCTGCATGGCAATCAGTAGCAAAATAAATTATATCAAGTATCAGAAGACTTGACTGAAAGCCAAGCTTTCTACCTTTTTAAGTATTTGACATCACTCACAAACAAAAAAATGTAACTTGACATGATGCTATCATATAACCCAACAAAGCACATAGGATGACAAGTCATGTGTGTAAGATATTTCTGATACTTGACATGATGCTATCATATAACCCTACAAACCTGAAGTTCATGGTGAAAACAAAATGAACAGGAAATAACAAGCACCGCCACCAATAAAAAAATAGTAAATTTTATGATATGAAACAAGATCTTAAGCAAAGCATAACTTAAATATCTGCTCCTCAGCCCAAGGAATTCATCAATTACCAAGCTAATGGATGAAACTAGAAGTGCTAATTTATGAGCTAGGGTACTTTTTTCTCTATCTACTCCAAAATCAACACCCTATTTGCTTTCTCCTTTCAAAATACCGGTGGACCACGGGATCTTATTCTCCTCCTCCCTAACAACATGAACACATCAGATTCAGGTCCTAAATAGTTTAGCTACCCTACCCAATCAATGTTTCACATTCAAACAGAAAGATGGAAGTATAAAGAAAGGAGGATAGCGAGATCTCACGGGAGAGGATGGTTTGCTTAGGGCACTGACAGGGAGGACAACGGGCACCTCCAAGGATCACTCCATGGCCTCATGCCAAACCACTGTACCCTAACACCAGATCAGAAACTCTCCGGCTGTGTTTTCCCCACTCCCAAGCGGGAAGGCCGATGTGACCGAGCAACAAGAGAACCAGGTACCCCTGCAGAATTGTCACACAACATGAGCAGCAGACCTTGTACCCCTGTACAAGACATACCCCCTGCACTCAGCCCTACCATCAAAATACACATGCGCACAGAAAACGTTTTCCACCTTTTCTCTATCCGCTCAGGCCAATGGCACACTGTCAACACAACAACAGATGGCTGCAATAGCAGCAACATCCATGCCAACAGCACAAACCACATCCCTTGCCACAATATATTCTGCTGCCTCTGTAACAATACTTATCTTACTGCCTTGGTCCAAAATGGTTAAATTGTTGCGATCGGAAGACAGATCAAAGCATATGGTGCCTGTGGGAATCCTTTCTTCACTCATACATTCTAGTTAACAGTTAACAAATTCCATTCCCTGCGATAAGACAACAACACACAGTGGTACCATTTTCAGTTGCAGATAGTTTGCCAACCTTATTGCATCCAAAAGACCACGACCACGAGCAAATGTTTTCATACATCACATAATGGCAAAATGCTCAAACCCCGATCAGCAAGCTATGCACTGATGATGTTCACCTTCCTCTGAATATCAACACAGCCAAACTTAGGGGAATTACCGATTGACATCACCGAACAACACCTTATAAAACCGCCTCCTCTCCTCCCTTTTCTCTGCACTATCCAAGCGCGCCGCTTCCTCATCCTCCACCTCTTTCTCTTTCTTTACCTCAACCTCCCCTCTCCTCCTCTTCTTCTCAAAATTCATCGCTTGCCGCCGTTGGTTATACTCACGCAGCCCCTCCTGCATGAGCTCCCCGAGCCGATCCTTGGCCAGCACCACCAGATCCTTCTCCCTCAGCTCTGATCCCTCGTAGCCCTCACGGAGCACCACTGTATGTATCTTGTACCGATTCGACACATAGAAGAGGCAGGGGTGCCGGAGCAGCATCCTCACTGTGTCCTCCGGCAGCCCAAACTCCCTCCTAAAATGCTCCAGCTTCAAAATTGACATCTTTCTCCACAGGGTGAGAGAGAGGAGCTCGTGCACCACGGCCACCGATCGCTTCTCGGCTTCGGCGTCCGTGCCCGGCAAAGCCCACTCCTCCGAGTAGGGCGAGATGTAAGGCGTGGAGGCGTTGAAATCCTCCATCTTGGCGTGCGACTTGACCCATGAGGCCGGTAGCGAGCAGGTGAACCGTGGGGTCGAGTAACTCGCGACCGCGGCGGCCTCGACGGCGGAGACGGCGAGCGAGGGCGCCCATCTGAGGAGCTCTAGCTCAGCGGCGTTGCGGCGGTGCGGGTAGGGGTTGGTGAGGCGGAAGAGATCGGTGTTGGCGGGGAGGAGGCGGAGGAGGTAGTCGTCAGGGAGGCCGAGAGGGCCCCGCAGCGCGGCGAGTTTGGAAACCTGTAGGCGGCGGCCGCGGGCGAGCATGAGCACGCGCGCGAGGCGGTCCGCCATGGCCGGCTCGGAGGCCGCGACGGCAGCTTCCTCCGCGTGGACGAGCGCCGCCATCCGCTTTGTGAAGCCGAAGTGGGGCTCCTGCTCACCGCCACCGGCGTCGGCGGAGAAGACCTCGAAGCAGGAAGGGTATTTGCCGAGCCAATTGGCGGCGCGGCCCATGAGATCGAGCGTCTTGAAGCGGGACTGGAGGAAGCGCACGGGGGCCGTGCGCGACGGGAAACGGAGGAGGAGGCGCTTGATTTGGTTGTTGACGACCCAGCGGCGGTTACGCCGGAGCGCCGCCTCCAGGGCGGGGTCCTTCGGGGACGACCACCGCGGCATGCTCGGCGACAAGGCACGGCGGCGGGCGCGGCCGGGATGGCGCGTCGAAACGCCGCCGGAAGGGTTAACGCGAGCGGGCTCGTGGGCTTCAGCCGTTGCCTGCGAATGGGCTTGCTTTAACGTTTGGGTGACTTTCTCTGGGTAGTTATCCTAGTTGGGCCTTTTGGTATGACCATCGGATCATTCCTCTCATCTCATTATCAGTCGAAGAGCTAGTCTAAAAGAAAAAAAATCATCAGTCGAAGAGCTCTTTCCTTTCCTCCTCCCAATCTAAAAAAAAAAACACTGGAATGATCTTCTAAGTGTGTCGGTAGAAGAATTGACAGTTTATTTTATGTCCTTGTTACTGCCTTCATTTTAAATTACAAGATGTTTAGTTTTTCTAGATACATTATTTTGTATTCACTGTCTCTCCAGCTTTCCACGTATCCATAGTATAAGAGTCTATCTGGTTATACATAGATAGTTACTAGTTGAGGCTAAAATTAATTCAAATTAGTTATGGTTGTCTGCCTAGTTGTCTAACAACTAGTTGAAGACTTATTTAAAAAATTAGTCGACCTATTAACTCTTTTGTTTAGGTACACTAAAGCTAATTTAGACTAATTTTAAGCTAGATAGCAATTAGCCTTTGTATCAAACATGCTCTAACAAACCATCCTCAGCGGCATGCCCGGGAGGTGGGGGGTGGGGGGGGGTTGTGAATCATGTACGGGCAATGTCTCTGCGTATCCATACATAAATAAACAATGTCAACATTTACAAACCATAATAAATTATTTGATTTTTTATGAATAAAATAAATATAATGCTAACTAAGCTATAAATAAATCATCATCATAACGTAACGCAATAAGCCACTAACATTGTCCCCACTTAAAAATATCAGAAGCGAACTCTAGAGAGCCCCCCCTGCTTCTGTTGTATCCCAAGAACAAGAAATAAGAGTCAAGCCGACCTTCCTGGGCCGCAAGACGACCTGCGGAACCGCCTACCCAAGCACAAATACTCGCATCTCCTACCGCGGTTTTGATCCAGAACGACGGCCGGCCAGCGAGCCTTAAACCCTACACCCGCCCAAACCCACACGACTCACAAACATGGCCGCCGCCGCCGCCGCCGCGAAGGCAGCGGCCGCGGCCGTCTCCGCGGGGGCCGCCTTCGCGCTCTCCTCCGAGCGGGCCCACGCCGACGGGGGCGGCTCCACCTTCCGCTTCCCCGGCTTCTATTCCTCCGCCCCCGCACAGGCCCCTGGCCCCGCCGCGCCGCCGCCCCAGCAGTCCCCACCGCCGTCGGGCGGGCGGCGCGAGGAAGCCCCGGAGGAGCCGCCGAAGGTTTCGACTCAGCACCCTCGCACCAGTGCCGCGGGCTTCGACCCCGCGCCGTTGGAGCGTGGGGTGGAGGCGCTTAACCAGCTCAATAAGTCGTCGGACCCCAAAAAGGTGGGCATTTTCGAGGGGCTTTCTCCTCGGTTCTTTTCCCTATTTTGTTCTACGGCTGGTTTTGACTGGGGGCTGTTTTCACCCGTGGTTGTGCAGCTGTTCGAGCTTATGAAGAAGCGGGAGGAGACGCACCAGCAGGAAATAGCTGCGAAGAAACTCGAGTTGCAGAAGACACTGGCCGAGATCGAGCTTGTGAGACATCTCTCATCCCATCACTCTGTTGGCCTTCAATTTGTTGGTTATGATATTTTGTACGAAGGAATTATCACTTACTAACTAACTTACAAGCTGTTCGGCTGATGGTTTCTGGGGCTGATAAGCCGACTGATGCTGTTTTGCTGTGAGAGAAAAACATTGTATCATGGCTGATAGCTGCAAAGCCTTTTAGTCCCAAGCTCATCTCGTCTGGGGTAAGCAGTAAGGAGCTAGTTTGGAGAACATTGCATGAAAAAAATATATAGTTTCGAGATTTAAGATTACAAATGACGATTCTATGCCCTCCTGGGAACTCCAAAAAATGAGCATCACAAGTTCATAATTGCCATGGATATAGGACCTTCAGTAATGTGCTTCCATATGCATAGTGTTTGCATTCCTGTTGATGACTGGTTTTATTCTGTGCTGCAGTTAACAAACTGCTTCACATAACTCTTTATTCTTGAAATCCTGAATTGTGTGGCCATATTGTGCGGACTCTGACCTTCTTGACTGTCTGCAATACAAATGTTGGTGATCAACATACAACATCTTAGATTTACTTATTCATTACTGCTCCTATTTTTGCAGTATTTTACAAGTCTGTCAGAATGCTATTGATTAACTTGAACAGAGTTTATGTCTGTGTGTTGGTTCTGTTACATATTAAGTACTTCATTCAGATCATGTCACCCTTATTTATTCATTGAATAGTGTGGATCTGTGATGAAGGGATTGATAAATTGATGTTTACTGTTGCATAATTTCTCCAGTCACAAGTGTCACTTTGCACACTGATAGTCTCCATAACATAGTTTTTTCAAGACAAATCTCTTTCTTTTATTATTTTCATATGACTGACCTATGTATTTGTGAAGATATTTGGTGGAAATGAAATAGTTTTTGCAGCAAGCATGGAAGATACTTGTTTTTTATTGGACGGGTTTTATACTTTTATTACATTTGTATAGATTGTTTCATTCTCATAATAAACGGTGTGATATTAAGTACTCCCTCCATTTTAAATTGTATAAGTTGTTCTGGCTTTTCTAGGTGCATAGCTTTTGGTACGCACCTAGATATGTCTTAGTACATAGTAAAAGCTATGTATCTAGAAAAGGGAGAACGACTTAAAATTTGGAATGTAGGGAGTGTACTTTTGCTTTGTTAAGTCATGAATTATATTGTGCTCAAATTTATTTTGTAACATGAGCCATTTTGTAGGAGCAAAAACGTGTGGATTTCGAAGAAAGGAAAAAACTTGATCAACAACGAGCTAAATTTAAGTCGCAGACGGCTCAGTATGAGGATGAGCTAAAAAGGAAGCGACTGCAGGCTGAACATGAGGCGCAGAGGTTAAGGAACCAGGAGCTTGTGAAGATGCAAGAGGAATCTGGGATTAGGCTAGAGCAGATCAGGCGGGCAACTGAGGAGCAAATCCAGGAACAACGGAGACAGACAGAGAGGCATAGGGCCGATCTAGAGCAGGCGACCCTTTCAAAGAAAGCCATGGCAGAGGCGGAGGGGAGAATACTAGTAACAAAACAAACTGAAGATGTGAAAAGGCGATTGCTTTTGGAGGAGATAAATGCTGACAGGGAGAAGTGGATCCAAGTGATAAATACAACCTTTGAGCATATAGGAGGTATGCCTTACTAAGTGAATAGTTCTTTTTTGGACCTTTTTCTGCAGTTCTCTTAAGCTATTTCTAATGGTTTGTGTCAAATGACTTGGGTGATTTGATAAAACTTCCAAAGTTATTACTTGCAATTAAAACTGGCAATTGGATACTATATGGGTACCAGCATAATGTTACTGTATTCAAACTATTTACTCCTATGTTGTATCCAACCTAGGGATGTTAGGGGTCTTTATATGCTTATTATATTATGAAACATCAGTGGTGAGATATAAAAGTTTGTGACATCTTTGTTGTGTGATATCTTCTTTCCCTTTTTCCCCAGGTGGTTTGCGAACGATCTTAACTGATCAAAATAAGCTAGTGGTAGCAGTGGGAGGTATAACAGCACTTGCTGCAGGGATATACACAACAAGGTACAGTTCATTGTGGTCTATGTTTCAATTTCTGGTTTTAGTTATCTGGTTCACTCACCATAACTCTGCTGTTTCTTACTCTGCATTGGAGCTCATAAGTTACTGAATTAAACTGCTGCTGTGTATCCACCTCTCTGCTTTTAAACTCAATGATGAATACGAAACCAATTGTGGTGCCAGAGTTACATCTTATGCAATATACTGGTTTGAATTCTAGTAGTCACAGTATGATTAGTTGCTCTATTTCTTCTAAATTTGTCCCTTTGTTTGCTTTGGATGATACCTGTATCTACCGCATTTTGTTTTAAGATCAGCCTCTCCGCAGATTTTGCGGGGGAAAGGCTTGTCTCGGTTTATCCCTTCCCCAGACCCCACT